CAAAACTGCAATGACTAACCTTTCAAAGGTGAACCAAATGTAAACTTCACAACCTAAGCTAGAATGCTTAGGACTGAGTTCTCTTGTTTCTTTGTGCTGCTCTGGTGACTAGTGGAACTGGAAACTGGCCAAACCTTGGCTAGGGATTCCCCCAGTAGGTCAGTCATAAGAGGGAATAGAGCTGATGTAGACCGTGCCTACACTGCCTTTCTGCTAGCCAAAGTGTTGGGAATGTTCTCTGGCTGGAGCTCCCTGAAATCAAATGGTGGGCAATATTGTTTAAAAAAGCAAAACAAAAAACAAAATAAAAAAAACAACCTGACACCATGTGCCCCCTTTGGTAACTAATTTGGTTATTGAATTTAGGTCCCAAAGGGTAAAATTCTGACTACAATGTATTTACCAGTACTCAGCCTCAAGTCTGAATTTTAGTTTGCACTCACTCCCCAACTCCCATTCAGTCCAATGAGATTAGTTTCACTCTAGTTTTTGACAATCTAGATTAATTCCTGATGGCCATAATGTCAGCTCAAAAGATTTTATAGCTTACTGTCTTATTCACTGAAAAATAGTACTGTAGTTTTCCAAAAAGATTAATGACTAGATAATACTTAGTCCTGCCATGAGTGCAGGAGACTGGACTAGATGACCTCTCGAGGTCCCTTCCAGCCCTATGATTCTATGTCCTAAAGCTCCCATGAATATTTCAGTCAAAGTCAGGGTGTTATCTTCCACTTCCACTAGCACCAACTCAATTGACCTGAAAGAGAGAATTTATTCTATCCTTGATGTTGATGGTGATAAAATTGTGCCTATGAAGAACAAATACCACCAGATGTCCCATTTATTGTTTCTGGCCAACCAACCACAATGTAAAGAGGAAAAAATAATCTTTTTCGTGGTATAGTGCAAGACGTAGATCTAGCTGTATCACAAAAAACTTACCTAGCCATAAGTATCGTGGTACATAATTCTGGATGCACTGCATTCTTCATGCTGAAAAAGCACATGCTTCAGTAGAGGAAGTATGTGAAGCACTTGTTTGTTCTTCCCTCCCTACTTTCACAAAGGATTGTGTTTTTGTACTTTTTGTTCTCCCGCAATACTTCTTGGAAACTTTTTTGCTGTTTTAAAGCACTAATGCTTAACCTAAACAAAAAAAACAAAACAAACAAAAAAAACTTTATTTGTATGTCTAGTTGTACGTCTAGTATAAACCTATCCACCAGAACAGGTCATGGCTTGATTATATCCTCGATGTACTACTAAACTACCAGACATACCCTGGAATGAGCAAACAAAGGTGCAGGAACACATTTCCCCAACCACCAGTAATATGCTGATCAGTGTGTAAGGCACAACATGAAACTGGTCCCTGTCCTGAAGAGCTTACACTACAGAATTATAAATTTCTCCTCTTTGAAATATCTTGCCCTGCCCTTTTTCTATGGTGATCTTGGACTTAGGCAGTTGGTACTAAAATATACACTAATTGTATATAATTTTCTTAGGTAGTTATGAATTCAGGTTAATTTTAAAGTTGATGAGGTTTGCAGATCATTATTTGGCTGAAAGCATGTCAGTTACTGATGGCTCTGATCTACCTCTATTTTTGAAAGGGGATGTTTCCGTTCATATGTATAAATGGCTGTTTCTGAGAAGAGAATATGGTACAGTAAAGCAAATACTCCATTTAATAGAATAAATGGGAATAGAAGTGCATATCTGTAATATGATCAAGTGAACACTTTTATAGCAGCTTAACATTTGCAATTCTTGCTTCTTCAAGTGATGGTCCCTATGGGTATACCACATGTGGGATAGGCATGCACGCCATCTGCCTGTGTCTGGAATTTTTTGTAAGCAGTGTCTGTTATCCCACACGTGCACCGAAGCAAACCAAAGGCATAAAAGTTTTCTCTCCAGTTCCTTCATGCTACCACATGGTCTGAGTTGGAATCTCCTAGAACATCTCGGAGAACATATTTGCTCCCCCCATCAGTATTCATCCCTCCTGTTGA